ATAAAAATTGGTATTTAAATCAGTATTTCTTCACTTTATCAATTTATCAGTATGATCTCAGCTGTGGGATGGTCAATGCCTGAGAGCTTCAGACTCTGTTTTGATGTTTCCAATAGAAAGAGTTATTTCAAATTACACCAAGGAGATTAAGAAGCCAATTCATAGCCTTCAAAGCAAAAGAGTTACTTACATTAATCTTACATAGCTTTAGATCAGATCTGTAATTTAGGTATGTGCTGAGGCTCCAAAGAGTGTGTTGCTTTTAAGAAGCTTCTCATTTTAGTTCCATGAGGACCACAGGAATATAATGCACACATTAATTGCTTCAGTTTCAGGTAATCTTTTTAAACAAGTACATTTTTCTGTCATGAAGATCCAGGTTAAAGATATGACCATGTTCATTATTGATGCTAACTGCAAATTCCAAAGAAGCACTAGAACAGAATCTCCAGCTGCTGAAATTAATTCACTATGAATTTAGCTTTAGCAATTTTTTTTTTTTAATATGAAGTCATGCTTCTTCCTGAAAGCATCTTATATTTGCAAGCAACAGATTTCTGTTCAGACTATGGTTCAGAAAAGGCTTGTAAAGAACAAAGTTGCATCAGCTGAGCACCATGCAGAGTTTTAAAGGTAACAGTAGGAAAGGCAGCTTGGGATGGACTTGCTCTCTCACTGGCCCTTTATTTTTTTACTAAAACATCTTTCAAGCACAGAAACATATGATAATTCTGCACTGTTCCTGGGTAAACTGCCAGTGTACCTGCTGATATGCACTGCAGTGGATTTTGAAAATATGGATCATGACAGAAGATATTATTCGCCTGTGGCAAGCACCCAGCTTATGTGCAATCATTGTCACTTCTGTTTCAAGTCTCTGGACTATAAAAGGAAAGAACTTGCTTGGGCTATGTTTTATGACAGCTTTAGCATGCATATAAGAAGGCCACCCAGCCACACCATCACTAACTGTAAAGGCTGTACAATCAAACCTCTCCCTAGCATACAGTGCCACTTCCCCAGCTCACCTGCCCAGCCTGCAGCCCTCCATCCCAGCCCTCCATCGTGGGATGTGTATCACCATGTCTCATCAATCCTGATGATGTCATAGCTCTGGGAACTGATCAAAACTTCCAGTTCATCCTGTTTCTCACATCGCATGTGCTGGTGTATATGCTCCCAGGAATGCTTTCATGTTGAGGCTGTTCAGGTCTGTTCCTCAAACAAAAAAAAAATTTAAAAATGACAGCAAAAAATAAGTTTTGCTAGCATTTAAATCTCTCACAGTGATCATCTTCAATCTTGCTGATTGTCTGCAGTCACCTCAGAACACAAAACGGATTCTTAGGAAAGGTTATGAAATAAATAACATACAAAAACAAAATTTCTCACATCTTTCTTTATAAAAAGCATTTTGGTTTCCATATGATTTTTCTGTGCTCTTAAATTAAAAATGGTTTAACTGTTAAATATTTTTTAATAATGTTGAACTGCCCTCTGCAGCTGAATTAGGAGTAAAACGTGTAGGAAAAATTTTATATCATGATTCATGACCTATTTCTAATGGTTCCTGAAATCATGTTCACTCTTGCCAGATCTCAAACTGTCTGAAATAAGCCTATGAGAGCTTTATGAGCAGAAGGTTTAGAATATTGAAGCAATGTTGATAGAAAGATTGATGTATTTTTGAAATGTAGTTTTTGGTCCTGTGAGATCACAGGGTTAAGAAAACATTCAGAACAAACTTTACAAATATGTTCACCTGCAAAAATAAGAACAGTCTATCTGACACCTTCCAAGTGCAATTTCTTGTACAATAATTGAGTGTCTGAATCTATTGGGGTTTGACTTATGCTATAGATACAAGATCAAGTGTCTCAAATTGAAGCAGCTTTTTTGTCTCCTGGCTCAATATTGGATAGTATATTATTGTTCCTACACAGTTGGATTTGAATTTAGTGCCATTCACAATATCATGTAAATTGTGATCCACTATTCTACATGCTGAATAAATGCCAAATAAATGCCAGCTCCTGTGAAGAAAATGATACCATTTACAAGCCAATGGTATGTCATTGGATAGAGTAGAGTTGGGGCACAATGACTACTGAGAACAAATGTTTTCAGACAGCCTCAATTGCTTTCATCAATACTAATGACTAGTTAAGAAATCACACACATTCATCCATGAAGAATGAATAAGGTCTAATAATGTACAGTTCAAACCAAACACTGCCATATTTGCCAGAGATTAATGAGAGAGAATGAGTGAAGCATCCACAAAGTCAGAAAATTCCATTTTCAGCTCCTGAGAAAGTGTTTGTAAAAACACAAGTGAAATAAAAAAAAAAAATCATGTCTTGAATTTATGATATCAGGTTATATCTTCCAAGCAATAATCTCTAACTGTGCTGAATCAACAGCAGCAGCAAGAGGGGAATCAATCTTGCCGTAGCAAGAGGGGAAATACTGGCACTTGAGGCTCCAGTCAGCAAGTGCAGAGGAATCAAGTAGCTTGGTAGCAGTGGTGCAAGTAATCTTTAAAATTTCATCCATTTAATTCCTCAGGGAGAGAACTCTTAGTGACCTGAGGTTGTTGCTAAAAGTGATAGCACAGCACCTACAGTCACTGATCAATTTAAAAGCATAATAAAAAAAAAAAATTCAGAATGATTAAAAGCAATACACAACTTCTGAAAAAAAAGATTGCTTTTTAGTTGTTGTTGTTATTATGATTACTTAGATTTTCAGGTTAGCACTGAAGAATTGTTACCTAGAAGACCTCAGAAGAAATTATTTCCACAGTACTGTATTTCTGAATTTTAATCTTAGTTCAGGATATGTTTCAATTCCTTATTATTTCCTTGAAACATTGGCATTTCAGTAGAATGATAAAAATAAAAACCCAAAACAAAAACATCACACAGCAGTTCTCAAAGAATCTGTGAGGAAACAGCTTGGGTTTTAGAGCTAATTTCCAAGTCCATTAACTTATACATGTACAAATTTGATACAATCTATGAATAGGATGGTTTACAACATACCAGAAATAATGTATCATCATTTATAAGGACAATCAACTGTATCAACAGTTCTTGCCTGGTCTCATTGGACATCAGTGACAAGTGGTGTCCCTCAGGGGTCTGTACTGCGACCAGTGTGATTTCATATCTTCATTAATGACATAGAATAAGGGATCGAGTGCACCCTCAGCAAATTCGCAGATGATACCTGCCTGAGCAGTACAGTTGACACACCTGAAGGACAGGATGCCATCCAGAGGGACCTGGACAAGCTCAAGAAGCAGGCCCATGAGAATCTCATGGATTTTAACACGACCAAGTGCAAGGTGCTGCACCTGGGTCAGGGTAACCCCCGGTATCAATACAGGCAGATTGAGAGCAGCCCTGCTGAGAAGGACTTAGGGACAGTGTTAAGGTGAGAGGCTAGACATAGAACCATAGAATGTTAAGGGGCTGGAATAGACCTTAAAGATCATCTAGCCCCAAACACCCTGCCATGGAAAGGGACACCTCCCACTAGACCAGGTTGCTCAGGGCCTTATCCAACCTGGCTTTGAACACTGCCGGGGCTGGGGCATCCACAGCCTCCCTGGGCAACCTGTTCCAGTGTCTCACCACCCTCACAGTGAAGAATTTCTTCCTAATATCTAACCTAAATTTCTCCTCTTTTAATTTGTATCCGTTACTCCTTGTCCTATCACTTCAGTTCCTGCTGAAGAATCCCTCTCTAGCTTTCCTGTAGGACCTCTTTAGATACTGGAAGGCTACTATGAAGTCTCCACACAAACTTCTCTGCCTAGCACAGAGGTGAGACTGACCGGTCTGTAGTTCCCCAGGTCTTCCACTTTCCTCTTTTTAAAGATAGGGGTTATATTTCTCTTTTTCTAGTCATCAGGGACTTCACCTGATTGCCATAATTTTCCAAAGATGATGGATAGTGGTTTAGCAGCTTCATCTGCCAGCTCCCTCCAGGCCCATGGATGAATTTCATCAGGTCCCATGGACTTGTGCACATTCAGGTTCATGGGATGGTCTTGAACCTGATTCTCTCCTACAGTGGGTTTAGGGTCTTCATTCTTCCCTGCATTTGCCTTTCTTGGCTTGGGCAGCATGGCTGGAGCACTTGCCATTGAAGACTGAGGCATACAAGTTGTTGAGAACCTCAGCCTTCCCTTTGTCCAGGGTAACCAGGTCTCCTGTTTCTTCCAGAGAGGACCCACATTATCCCTAGACTTTCTTTTGCTTGCAGCATATCTATAGAAGCCCTTCCTGTTGTCCTTAATATCCTTGGCCAGTCTCAATTCTAACTGGGCCTTGGCTTCCCTAACCTTGCCCCTAGCTTCCCATAAAATTTCCCTGTATTCCTCCTAGGCCACCTGTCCTCGTTTCCGCTTCCTGAAAGCTTCCTGAAAGACATGAGCCAGGAATGTGCACTTGCAGCCCGGAAAGACAACCGTGTCCTGGGCTGCATCCAAGGCAGCCTGGCCAGCAGGTTGAGGGAGGTGATTTTGCCCTCTACACTGCTCTGGTGAGACCCCACTTGAAGTGCTGCATCCAGCTCTGGGGTCCCCAGTACAGGAAGGACATGGACCTGTTGGAGCAAATCTTGAGGAGGGCCACCAAGTTGACTAGAAGGATGAAGCCCTTCTGCTATGAGGAAAGGCTAAGAAAATTTGGTCTGTTCAGCCTGGACAAGAGAAGGCCAAGGGGTGACCTAATTGTGGCCTTTCAGGACCTGGAAATATCTAAGGTCAGGTTGGATGGAGCTCTGAGCAACCTGGTCTATTGGAAGCTATCCCTGCACACTGGAGTTGGAACTAGATGATCTTTAAGGTCCCTTCCAACCCAGACCATTCTATGATTTATGAGTTCTTGCAAGTGGTCAAGAAAGTGCAGATAGTCTAGAGACCACGCTTATCAGAAAAATGTTAAAAATAACGTTGTGCAATAAATTTTATTGCTGACTTTTGAGTGACATTAATACCACATTGCAACATGCAATTATATTTACATGCACAGAAATGCTATGTTCAAAAGTCCATAAATTTAACTTTAAGTCTATGACTACTACTTGTATTTGCTTTCATTACACCTATTTTAACAATGTCTTTTCAGTCTACAGATTCCTAACAATAACATCTTGCACACCTTTGCTGAGCTGAGAGCAAAAGGTGTCTGAAGGAACTTTTTTCTGCCCATCTGCTTCAAAGAGAGATCCTTTTTGCCCCTTTCCAGGCCTGGTATCCACAAAAGAGAATGGGAAGAAAGAAGAGCAAAAGCTGAACTCTGAGGGGCAGCGGAGAGAAAGAAACCATTCCAAACTTTTTCTGCACTCTTCTCCAAATTGTGCAAAACTGTCTTCAGTTCATGAGCAGAAACCTCTAGTTTTTGTCTGCAGTCCCAAGGATAAAGATGATGAAAGGAAGAGCTCTTTCATGGAAAGGGCTGAGATTGCTGGCGGAGCTGGAGATTCTTGTGTCATCGTGAGAAAGCCACCAGCTTGAGTTGGAATAATTCAACTCACAAATACTTTGAAAGCTGGGAACTGCCAACTTGCTGGTATCACTTAAAGAAAGTGTCCTTTGGGAATTTAGAGATTACGAACAAGCAGAGTATGATTAATGTCATTGTCACTCTAACAGACATCAAATACCAGTGAATCAACTAGATGGGAACCAAAATATCACGGTGACAGGCACTTTGGAACTATAAAGTCTCTTTTGTAAATATGATGGGTTTAATCTTAACCCTATAGAAATGAAAACTCACCGAAAATCAATGAACAGTAGCGTGGCCTCTAGGGAAATAAATTGTTTAAAGGCTTATCTTCCCAGAACTATCAGGCTGCTTCTCACACCCTCCTCTGCCTCTGATCTGCTGTGCAACCCTGAATAATTCACTCACCACTCATCTCCATGCTGTGAACCCTCTCTCAGACTGAAGCTGTGCTTTAAAAGGAGAATAGGTTGCTTCTTGCAGTATAGCAATATAATGTAAGTCACCAGCTGCTAGGCACCTAAATGCTGTTGCTGTATTACATCTAACTACAACAGCAAGCATACTGTATCTATTCTATCTTCAGATAGTCAGGATTTCTGTTGCTGTTGTAGTCCTTTAAACACCATCTTCTTTCCAGTGTTTTATGTCCAGGCGATTTAAAACAGAAATTGCCTAACAAAACAGAAGTCATGAATGGACTCATAAATCTAACTGTCAGGATGACAGCATGTCCCAAAATGGGGTAATGCATTCTGAATTACAAAAGAAAAGCAGAAAATTAAAGAAAAAAATGTCACTGAGGCTTGCCAATAAAAGCTATTTGGAATCCTCTCATCCTCCAAACAGGTAATAAAGTAGTCTCTATAAAAATCAGGTGAAGGCTATCCAAAGTTGACAGTTTCAGCTTCTAGCACTGAACACTCAATCTAGGTGCTCTTAAAACAATGCTTAATTCATATAAGCAGCCAAGCAACAACAAATACAATTAACAAATTCACAGGCTATTGACCAAGTACAGAAGAAGACTCAGAAGAGAGAATGGAGCCAGTCTTTTCTTAGTGGTGCCAAGCAATAGCACAAGAGGAAGTTCCACCTGAACATGAGGAAGAACTTCTTTACTATGCAAGTGACCACACACTGGAACAGGTTGCCCAGAGAGTCTCCTTCATTGGAAATATTCAAGAACTGTCTGCATGCAATCCTGTGTCATGTGCTTTATGATGATCCTGCTTGAGCAGGGAGGTTGGACCAGATGAGCCCCTGTGGTTCCTTCCAGCCCTACCTATTCTGTGAAGACAATTAAAAGAATAAGTCATGACAATAACATCACATGGAAAAGAGAAAACATATTTAAAAAGCATTAGCTAACTGACCCTCTGCCACTACAACTACATGTTGAGCCATTCAAAGCTGTGGAAGAATTCAGCTCAAACAGGTACGGGACAGAATGGTATTTCTGCATTTATCTTACTCATGAAGCCACACTGAATTGAAGAGAAATGACACATTATTATTTCACAGATTTTCTTCATAGTCATCTGTGAGAAACTAATCTCGTAGAGGATCCTTCTTTTGCCAGATCTGCTTCATGATCTACACAGCAGTCATTATGGAACACTCCTCATGCCTAAATCTGATGTCTTCTTTATCGTAAAGACACTCAGAAAGGAAAACTGAGCAACTTATTTTGGAAAATAAGCACAACATACTACATGGTACTTACAATCCAAAGGAGCAGAAAAGCATCTGTATATTTGGCCTAAATTATATCTCATTGGCATGAGATATAAAGAGGGAGATTATTTTCAGCAATAGGGCATCAATATTGCTGATTTTTCTACAATTGTCCATCCAAACACATGGCAATGACCATCTATTTAGGCCCTTGGAGGTGACACAGTAAAACATATATACACACAAAGTTTCAGTTCATAAACTTATAGGGTGTTATTTGCATATCATTTATAAAAAAAGAAGACACAGAAATCACAAATTAAGAAGCTGAGAGAACAAAAGCTCTGAACAAAGCAAGCTGGAAGTAGTAGTTTATTTTCTTTGCTTTCCTCTGAACATTAATATCCACCCCCCACTCTGGTGTTTGGATATAATCACTGAATACAATAGGAACAATAGATTTCAATATATATTTTGAAAAATGTATTTTTCCTTAATGCAGTTTTTCTTATTTTCCTATCACTTAAAGCTACATGGTTCCCAGTATTTTCTGTACAAAGCAGTAGAGCTAACACTTTTGCTATTACACCTCATAGATTTTCAGCTGTATTACTCCCTATAGTTCAGAGAGCTAATATGCAAACCCAGTTCCTTTGCAGTAGAAAGCAAAATTACATATTGAGTCAGGCATATTACAAAATATAATTGTATTTCTAAATGAGATATTAAAAATAAGATCAAAATATTTTTTCCACGATAAGGAATAATAATAATAATAACAATGCATGCAATCTTATTTCCCAGAAGTCCATACCTACAATCTGTATAGTTCAATCTGTAGTTCTGCGTACAGAAATCCACAAAGCTATCACTCCAGAGAGCCATATGACAAGATAAAAAAACTGGTCTGTTTTCATTACTTCTTACCTCCTCTCCTGACTCTCATGGTCCTCTGTGGTTTCTCTAGCTCTAACCCTACATGCATAAATGCTTTCCTCGTTTACTTCTTGCTCTGTACTAGGCCAGCACAGGCATTCATACACTTATGCATGAGGCAGACTGGGGCACTAATGAAGCTGAAAAAGACATCTAGCAGAAGAAAATAATTAGCATGCAACACTAAATTGAAATTGCCCCCGAAAAGCTATGGGCCAAATTTAATCCTAGAAGAGTGCCCGAGGGGTTTGTTTTTGAAGGTTTTTTGGTGATTTTTGGTTAGTTGGTTTGGTTTCTTGGTTGGTTGGTTTGGTTATTTTGTTATTATGGTTTTCTTTGTTGTTTGGGGTTTTTTTTAACTAGGTCTGAGTTTTTATTTAGAACAAAATCTTGCCTTTGGGCATTTTCAAGCTTACCTATACTTAGACATTTTCTGCTGTTAGCACTGTAATCATCCTTCTCTGAGTCACTCTGTTCAGCAACTTCTACCAGGTGCCAAGAGACTCCACAAATCAGGATATACAAATTTCAGAAGTACACAGCAGTTATTTATTCATGAATACACGTGAGAGATGCCTAGATGTACTAGGCAGTAGCTAGAAGTTAATATGCACTCCATTCTCATGGCAGTCATCACTCAGTGAAGAACAACTGATCTCCTCAGAATGGGATAATCCTCAACCTTACCGAGTCATCAAGTTCTAATTCCCTGCTTTTTCTGTTATTATTTAATAACTTTTCTTATCAGTGTTCCTCCTCTTTAATTCTTCTAGGATTAAAATTACTCACATTTTAATAATTTTCAGAACAGAGCTAAGACAACATCACATTGCTCTGCAACACCAAACCACCTCAACCACAAACTATCAGAGCCCCAACTGCGAGTTGGGGTATCTGTTTTACAGATGATCTCAAGCCCTTACATATGTGCTTCTTCTGCCTAGGATGAAACGGGAAATTGTTACGAATTTCACACAAGTAACTCTTATTCATTCTTGAGCATTCAGCTGAATTTTAATCTCAGCACAGGCAGAGAGTGCATACCATCTCCAAATTAGTCTGGCCTCTATGGTGCTGCTGCCTTTTGCAGTGTGCAAGAACTCTTCCTTCCATGTAACTAAGTGCCAGTGCTGGGAAGAAAGAGGACAGCAGCCACACACAGGGGCAACCTCGCACAAATCCAGCACATGCAAGGCATGTAAAACTAATGGGCAGAAAATTTTCAAAAATTCCCTTAACCAGAATTTTCCAACTATCAACACTGAAAGTCTTTGCATAAACTTCCAAGAGGACTCCAATGGAGCCAGATTAACTTTGTCACACAGATTCCTTAGTGCCTTCCACCTCCTCTGCCCCATTCTTGGCCACACAACCCTGAGCAACAAACATGGTTTTCAGGGCTTCAAAGCTCTCTTTCAGAATATTGCCCCAGGAATTTCTCCAATTTATACTTTTCAGTAGATGCTTCCATTTTGACAGATTGGTATTTTCAGATACACAACAGCAATCTCCACTTTTAAATACACATTTTAAATGTAAGGTTTTATACATATTTTTAATATATATTTTATTTAGATATATATTATATTTATATATATTTTATATATATATATATCACAAAAATATCTATCTGAGATATCTATTTTGGTTTATCAGATAGAGAAAAAAGATGTTTCCTCTATCTAAAAACAAACTTTGGCCTTCTTGCAAATCAAAAATATGTTTGTTGTGTGTGAGCACATATATATGGAAATACAACTAAGTGCTACCTAAGATAAATCTTCTAGTCATAAGTCAGGCTTTTAAACAGTCTTGAATGACCGGAGTACAGTTTTCAAACATAAATGCAAAGTATATCTCACATAGATGAGAGACGAATGGTGAAATACCACAAGAAATAAAGCATTTGAAGCTGCAAGACTGCACATGCTGAACTCTGCTGGCCAAGGCTATCAATGACAGTAGTCTGTCATTCTGCTCTAACAGATCACACTTCTTTCTCTTTAGAAACATCAAAATTGGTCAGAAGTAAGCCTTAAAAGCTAGATCCCATTAGATACTTGGAAAATTTGTGAGCATAAATAGAAACTTTAAAACCTCAGTGTTTTATCATGGTTATTGTGCTTATGGCTAATTAGCTCTTCAGTGCACTCCATTCAAAGTTCATTTTCACTTTCTTGTCTTCTGCACAAGATATAAGACATTTGCATACAAAACATTTGTAGTGTAGCACTATTTATTAGCCTATACAAATACGAATTTGGGAGGTACTACCAAAGAAAGATTACTCACAGTTGTTGCTTTTTATTTTATTCAAATTAGTACAAGTATCTGATCTCCAAGTCATATTCAACTTCCTCAGGGCTTTTTCAGAAAACCTGTACACAAATTCTGTTAATTCTTTTAGATAGGATGCAAGTACAGACCTCTTTCTTTTCTTTTTTTACCTCATATACTATTGTTTCAAAAGTTATTTCCATAACAGAGGAGTTAGGAAGAAGGACTTCTTTAAAGAAAAAAAACCCTCAAGTTTGATTCTGATTCTGCAGCATACAAAGAAAAAAATCTAGTAAATGTTAAGGGATGCAAACTTTCATGCTAAGTAATGGGCAACATAAAGAAAAGGTTTTTTTGGGTTTTGGGGTGGGTTTTTTCGTTGATTTTTTTTGGGGGGGGTTGTTTGTTCTTTTTCAAATAAAAATAGATATCTTTCCCTGTTAAAATTTTGAAGTGCATTACTTTTATGTCAGAAAGTATCTGTTTTACTTACTGTCTTTGGCTTCTGCATGATAATCTAAGTGAAGATAAGAAAATACTTGTCAAGTGGTGTTTTTAAAAATTAAGATTACTTGCTCATCAAGAGGTACTGTAATTACATCTGGAAGTTATTAAATTGCTTCTCGAGTTTAAAAAACACTACTCTCTTTCATAATCACAACTTTAATGGAATTTGAAATGCAATAATACATGCCAAAAGAATTGAATATGGGAAACAAGTTATGATAGAGGAATTAAATTAATCACTTCAAAGGTGTAGTTGTAAGGTTAAAGCTCCAGATTATTAATTTTTTTAACCATTGACATTTGACAGTGCTTAGTGAGCTGAAAAAAAAAATATTCTAATACAATGAAGTTGAAGTTTCATCATAAAGATGTGTGGATGTTGAAAATTTCCAAAACAATACAGAAGACCATCCACTGCCATTGAATCATAAAATGCTTTGGATTGGAAGGGACCTTTAAAGGTCATCTAGTCCAAACCCCTTGCCACAGTCAGGGACATCTTCAACTAGATTAGGTTTCCTAGAGGTACATCCAACTTGGCCTTGAATGTTTCCAAGAATGGGGAATCCACAACTTCTCTGGACAACTTGTTCAGTGTTTCAGCACCCTCACCATAAAACATTCCTTCTTTACATTTAGTCTGCATCTACCCTCTTTTATACCCCTTGTCCCATTGCTACACTAAATAGTCTCTCTTCATCTTTCTTTTAAGCCCCCTTTAGGTACTGGAAAGCTGCAATAAGGTCTCCCTCCAGGCTGAATCACACAAAGTGTCTCCGCCTGTCTTCACAGGAGAGATGTTCCACCCCTCTGATCATCTTTGTCTCTCTGGGCCCACTTCAACAGATCCTTGCCTTTCAAGACAGTATGGTAAGTTACATTACTCCTCAAGG